ACCATCCTCTTCGAGCTGGTCAAAGCCCTCAGCGAGCCCCGGCTCTTCGTGCGCCTGCTGCTGGCGCTGCCCCAGGATGTGCGCCAGAGCCAGCTGGAGCACTTGGTGGAGTACATCGCCGGCGAGACGTCCCCATCAGACATCAAGTTCTTCTTGGATGTGTGGTGGGAGGTGATGAAGCACAGGGAGGGAGAGGAAGACGCAACAGTCTCTGCGTTCAGCGCTCTCATACATCAGCATGAGTGTGAGTCCTCCCTGGATGATGGCCTCCAGCCCCCAAAGAGGTTCAAGGGTGACCCTGGTCCTCTGAGCGACCCCCCTGCTGCCACCAGCCTGCTCATGGTCCTGATAGAGGGGTTAAAGCGAATTTACGGGAGCATCGCCCTGCCCCGCATGAAGTGCTATGCTCTGGCCAACCTGGCAGAGCTGCTGTCTGTGTTCACTGAGCTGGAGCCAGAAAGCAGCCCCCTCCCTGTGGCAGAGTACCTGGAGAAGATCAGCACTGTGGTCAGCCTCTGGTCTGTTGACACTGAAAGCACGTACCACCACAGGGGGCTGGATGAGAAGGTTAGGGAAGCAGAGAGAAGCATGAGCCTCTTGTCCATGGCCAAGCTGTCCCGTGAGGAGCTCTTTGTTGGCTTGGACTTTCTCTCTAGTGTGTTGCATGCCTGGGGGGAGGAGCTGCAGGGCACACTGAACAGCTCTGAGGAGGTGCTCTGCTATGAGAGTTACAGGCTCCTAGATACGCTTACCACCCTTGGGAAGAACCTGGCTTGCTTCTCAGAAGTTAAAGACCTGGGTGAGGATGAGACATGTGTAGTGTTAGAGCTGACACAGATCTCTAAGGACTTTCTCAAGGAGAACAGTGCCAACCTGAAGAGCAAGGATTTGGAGACCAGCCTTCTGTCTTCGGTTGCTATGACAATCATTGAGCAAAGGCTGGACCGGCATGTGGAGATGTGCTCCATTTTTGCATCTGAGAAGACCTGGGTCTTTTCAAGGGACTGGCTTGACTGCCTTGTGAAAAACAAAGCTCTCTTCCAGAAACCAGAGCTGGTTTTGAAATTGCTGGAGACGCTGGTGAGCTTTGCCATGCTCCACCAAGACAAGGAGGCCCAAGAGCTGCAGAGGCAAGTGACCAAAGCCATTGTGGAGTCTTACACTGAGCTTTCGTTAACTGACAAAAACCAAGTGATCTCAGGCATCCTGGTGTCCTGGGGTGGACGGGGTCTGTCCCTGAACTTGCAGGTTGTCATGGAGGGGTTCCAGGAGGATCTGAATGTGACTTTCAACCAGATCACAAGGAGCGTGTCTGATGAAGGCCTGACCAGGGCTGTGGCTTCTGTGGCCAGGCTCACGCTGCTATACCCTGAAGCCATGGTGAAGCAGGTTTGTAACCTTGCTGTAGTCAATCTGGGAGCACACCAGTTCCTCGCACAAATCCTATGTTCCTTCCCTGCACTGAGCTTCCTGGAGACCCACAATGACCCCGGCAGGCCATGCAGCCTGGTGCTGAGGTGTCTGGAGGAGTCAGTATGGGGCAGGCTTTCCACTGCGAGGGAAGAGGAGCAGTTCCTTGAGTTCTTGGTCTTTCTCATGCAGCCAAGCTCAGACACCCCACTTGTGTCACCTGCAGAGGTGACTAAAACCTTTGTCCTTCCCTATGTGAAGTCAGACTCTGTTCATATTGAGCTGAGCCTGCAGATCCTCAGTAAGGTTCTGGGGATACAGTCCTGTTCAGAAGAGCACTGGATCAAGTCCTGTCACCCATTCCCACTTCTTCTTAGCCTCTGCAAGCTTCTAGATGGTTACACAAAGTACTGGCATCAGCCTAGGGACCAGCTCTTCCCTTCACTGGAGACCAAAGACCTGATACTGAACATCCTCTGCCAGCTCTGTGAGGTGGTAAGACCAGAAACTGCCCCTTCCCCTGAGCTGTGGGTCCAGTCACTCGCTTGGCTTCACAGGAAGGTGGCGTTGCTGGACTGGACCGTTGGTCTGCGGCTGAAGAAGCTTTATGGAGACCACTTCAAGAACGAGGTCCCAGCAACACTGTTTGAGATCTGCACACTCCCTGAGGACGAGTGGACATCCCAGCCTTTGCCAGCCTATGGACCAGGCAGCGGGCTCCTGGCATGGATGGAATGCTGCTGTGTGTCCACAGCACTCAGGGAGACGATGCTGACACTCCTTAAAGTCAATGTGGACAACCCCGAAGAAGTGAATCTCTTCAGCAAAGGGTTCCTGGTGGCCCTCATACAGGTCCTCCCTTGGTGCAGCCACAGTGAATGGAAAAGGCTCATACACGTGGTCGAAAACCTGCTGGAGAGGCAAATCCTGCACGTGCCGTACACGCTGGAGTACGTGCAGTACATGCCCCTGCTCAACCTCCGGCCGTTTGCCTGCTACCTCCAGTTCTCCGTGCTCTTCCTGCGGGGCTTCCAGCTCCTCTGCAGCTCCAGCTGCTCCACCTGGCTGCCGTCAGAGGCTTGGTTCCATGTGGTCCAGCTCTACTGCAGCAGCCTGACGGACCTGCTGGGCTCTGTCAAGAGCATCGCAGGGTCCCCCTTGCACCCTGAGGACAGAACCTCCACGCAAGAGGTGTCCTTCATCTGCATCCAGATGTTCTGCCACCTGCTGCACATTGCTGCCATGCTGCCAGGGCAGGGGTGCAGTGAGCCACTGGTGGTGGTGGCACTGGAGGTCCTCTCACAGTATGAGGTGTTCAGCGGCGCCGATACGTCCCCTGGCAACACGCTGCGGACAGCCAACGAGAGGCACTTCCTCGAGTCCATCACGGACAATGTCAGTGACAAGGAGCTGCGCAGCACCCTGCTGCAGAAGCTCAGCAAGCTGGGAGCACCCTCAGCCGGGGAGCTGGCTTGAGGAGCTGGAGGGAGCGACAGAGGGGACCTCTTACATGGGAAGCTGTAAGATCTGTAATAAACCCTTTCTATTTTCCTCTTTTGAACTTATATCCCCCTCTTGTGTATTCTTCCAACCTAAGCGAAGGGGCTGCGTAAAGATAGATCAGAACAACTACTTCCTAATTTTCCAGTGGGAATAGCTGTGGACAGAGCTGTTCCTGAGCCAGGCAGCTGGTCCCATGGCTCCAGCTTTGTGTGCTTGCAGCCTGGATTTATAGAGAGCCTGGCAGCCTCTAGCATCAGGGAAATCATTTCCCTTGGGCTTCCGTGCCCTAGCCCTCCCCTGTCCTGCATGGATTGCTGCTGCTGGAGCCTGGGAAGTGAGTCAGGTGAGCTCAGGACAGGCAGGAACATTTGGAAATACATGTGCTGAGGTGGGGGTGCAGCAGTAACCCCATGTGTTAACAGCCCCCACCCAGAAATGAACGGCACGTGGGAGAGACATCCAGTGGTGAGAGTCAGAAAGGAAATTTTTATTGGTCTCCTGACAGTGAATAGGGCAGTGTTAGTGCCAACAGAGGTGCCTCATGGGCTTTTTGTTTCTGTCCTTACATAAGGCACATTATTTGCAGTGAAAACAGCGAGATACAAACATCGGTAAGAGGTTGCAAGCGGTTTATAACATCAGCTGGTCTCAGACGTTAATGTAACCGTAGTGTTTGTGCAATAACTGACCACATGTTGGAAGAGGCTCTTTATTTTACTCTTTCCAGAATACAGCCATGGCCAGGACAGGATCAGATCCAAGAGAACCAGATCTCCTAGAGCTCCACTGTTGTTTTTAGGCAGAATGAAAGGCACAGAGTGGTTACAGGTCTCTGGGCATGGGGGGCTGCCAGGGCCATGCTGGTGCAGTACCTGCCCTGGAGCAGGGGACCCCCAGGCAAGCTGAGAGCTCTGCAGGAAGGAGGTGGCTGCCCTGGCATGTGCTGGCTGCAGGGAAGGAACTGAGCTGTTGCTGTCTGACTCACACACCCACAAGGCTTGTGAACCCCATGGTGCAGGGTGAGCTGGGAATCCTGTGCCCATTGCTGAGAGTGAAGGTGGAAATGGGCTGGACCACTGAAGGGTGCAGCTCAGTGCCCTGCTCTGGGGGTGCTGGTTCCTCCTGCGCTGAGAATGGTATGGGGCTGGAGGGACGAACGTGGACTGCTGGTGGGAGAGCAGGGCAGAGGATTTTAAATACCCACTGAGGGGGATGTGGGACAGAAAAACAACTACAGTTGGGCAAGAGGTTGAAAGCTGCATCCCCTGCTGATGAAGGGCTCTGCACAGTGCCCCATGTGTTGGTGAGACAAGGACCTAGCAGTTGCTTGTCCCCATCCTGCTCTTCAGCCATGGGTGCTCTGCTCTGCCCTGCCAGCATTGCTGGAGACAGCATAACCATTCCTCTGTCCTGGCACAAGCTTCTCTCTCCTCCAGCCCTGCTGGGGACACTGGAACCTTCAACTCTAGCACCATCAGCCATGGACATCAGTTGTAGTGAAAAGCACCTTTGGGTTAAGTGGAGTTTGAGTCCAGCAGCAGGAGGAGACGCATCTGGGAGGTAAGAGGCTAAACACGGCTGTAGTGTAGAGGAGAAGTTGGTGAAGGTCAGGAACAGGCTCTGCAGAACCGCTGCAGCCCCCAGCCTGGCTCTGCTCTCAGCTGGAGGCTGGCCCAGAGATGGAGCAGCGAGTTGGGGCTGTGGCAGGTCCAGCACACGGCTCCTGTGTCCTCAGTGCTGCTGCATGGGGCTGGGCACACTCCAGCATCACCTCCGCTGCAGCCTCCAGCACTGCAGGTTCCTTCACGCTGCGCTGGTGTCTGGTGTCAGCCGTGGAAGATGCAGCGGGGGGGTTGTAACAAACCCCTCTCGTGTAACCGTTCAGAGCCACAGCATTGAATCCCAGAAGGAATGTCGTGCTTACAGGCTGGCTCCTACCCTAGCTCCCACGGGTGGGAGGACACAAGGCACTGGAGCAGTGTGGGAGTGAAGCCGCCTTAGCCCAGGCTGGTGCTGCCTGGCACAGCAGCGGGGATGGTGTGAGGCTGCTCCAGCTAACACAGCCCGGCGGTATTGCTGCTCCTGCTGCTCTGCTCCCACCCTGGTCCCCACAGTGAAGGTAGAAGAGGCGGGGGGGGGCGAACCCTTTCTTACACCCTGCTGGGCATTACGCCCTTGTGTGGGCCATTATCTGCTCTTGGCGGCGGGGGAGCTGCCGTAGAGGCGGGCGGCTTTGCGGCAGATGAGCCTGAACCAGTAGAGCTGGGGGGCGATGAGGGAGGCGTTGGCGATGTTGCAGTGCAGGGGGATGCGGAAAGGCACCATGTAAACTGGGATTCCCACCTGCCGGGCGTAAGCGGCGTACATGAAGGGGAAGAGGAGAATACGGCAGAGGAAGAAGGTCACCAGGATGAGGATCCCATTGACCTTGTGCAGGAGCGTGTCCTGCATTTTGAGCTGCGGAAGGAAGAAGGTGAATGTGGGGTGAGTGTTGGGCAGGCAGCACTCCATTGCTCCTTGGGTACTGGCTGTGCTGGGATCATGGAGATGGGCACCCAGGAGGTAATGGATGAGCGTTTGGAGGGAGCAGGAAAGTGGGGTGGGAGGGGATGGAGGAGGGTAGGAGGGAGCAGGGTGCAAGGGGAGTTATGGGGTACAGACAGGAGGGGGCAGCACCAGGACACAGTACAGCCCCAGTTCGAGGATGCTACTGGGCACGCTGCTTGCTGGGACAAAGGGACGTAGGATGGGAATCTGATGGAAGGCAGCACTGTGGGGGAGCCTGGGGTTACAGCTGTGGGGCTGCCCCCTCCGAGATCCCCAGCTCAGCTGCTGCATGAACAGGGACTGATGGAGAAGGGCAGCCTGGGGCAGGGAAAGGGTATGAACTGTTGTGTGGTTCCCAGACCCAAGCCCAATCCCTCCTCACCTACCTGCATGAGGATTTTGCCCAGCGATACAAAAGGTGTGCTCAGCTCTGCTATGAAGATGCAGCCCACGAAGAAGTCCCCCAGCTCTCCCCTGAAGTGCTGCAAATAAAGCCAGCAGTGAGCGTGGGGCCCTCCTGGCTGGGAGTTAACACTGACCAGCTGCAGAGGGTCATCGGCTTCTGACCATCAGAAGGTTTTGACAGTCACAGCCTCCACCACAAACCTTTGCAGCCACATGGAGCTCCTAGCAGGCTGGATTTCACTGCAGCCATGCCCAGCCCTTACCTGGGTGATGGGGGTGAGCACGATGAGGATGAAGAGGTGGTGGGTCACCATCAGCCGCTCCTGCAGGAGGAAGCTCCACACGCTGGCCAGCGAGTGCTTCTTCTCCACAACCCCCCTGTCCAGGGTCTTGTGCCAGTGGCAGAGGTACATGACATAAATGTCATAGGTCATGTAGGGAACCAGGACCCAGATGTACTCCACAGCCAGCCAGTGCCTAGGGGAGGAGCAGCACACACAGAGGCATCACAACGGCTCTGAGCATCTCATGATGCTCAAAAGGTGGAAGGGAGTCTTTAGGTCTGAAACGGAAGTGGTGGATTTTAAAGCTGATGGCGAGCTGAAAGGTGGCAAATTTCAACTGGATTTGGCTCAGCAGGCGCAGACTGTCCCAGAGAAAAAGGTGCCTGGTACAAGTGGAGGACACCTCCCTGCGCCAGGCACCGAGCTCAGCCCAGCCCAGCACAAACACAGCGCTAACGGGAGGATCTTGATTAGCCCTACAGTGAGTGTTTGCTGTGCAGGGTCACAGCTCAGGATCCAGCACTAATCCGACACCTTGCAGCAGGTAATCTTTTCCCCTCACCCCTGAGACACCCGGAACTGATGCTTGGTAGGGGGAAGAATTCCAAGCCTGGTCCCTCCTGCCTGCCACACTGCTTTGACTGGCTGCCTAACCCAGAAAGCGCTCGGAAAGCACCCAGAGACCTCAGAGTTAATTAGAGATGCCCGGCCTGGACTTTGGAGAGTGAGCTGCAAAATATCCAATATAGGCAATAAACCCCTGTGAAGCATTTTGTCTGTTGGGAAATAGTTGCAGGCAGCTGCCTGTTCCCAACGAATGTTGGAATCCCAGTTGCACAATCCAAGCAGCAGCAAGCCCTGCTGTGCAGGACACCAGGCTTCTTAAAACGTCCTGTGTGAAATCACACTGATAAACCAATACAAAACCAAACCATCCTACGCTGCTGCTTGAAGAAACGTAGCTCGGGGCTCAAGCAAATCTGCTTCTGCTCGCCTGGCATCTCCAGAGAAAAACAGGCGCACGTGTTCCTGTTCCAGATAGAAAGATGTAAGTGATGTAAAGCAGGGAGGGGAAGTGACTAGCTATTGTGTTTGCAAAACTCGCCCAGGGCTTTGGAGGGCAATTATGGTGCCAGCAATATAATGATTGCCTGCCTGTGTAAATAAATTGGCAAATTTTACTGCAACCTTTGTGATGCTTCCTGGCTCTCTGTCTCACTGTCATTCTTCAAGGCCTTCCCTGCTGAGCATTGAGCTGCATTTCCTTAAGATTCAAAGAAAATCTAGGTCTCCGACCACAAAGTGGTTGCATGGAGCTGCTGGCCTTGAGAACACTGGGTTCTGGGAGGAGGAGGGCTGCTGGCAGCGCCTGTGACTGTGTGGGTCTGGGATTCATCATCTGCCTTATCTGTACAAGCAGAGATTTTAGAGTAAAATGGTAAACTCATTAGACTGCCCTGGGTTAACAGGACTGAGCAATTGGGATAGATCTCAATCTGCAGAGCAAGGGAGGACATTTCACATCTGTGTATTAAGAGCAAGTCTGCAATGACCAAGAGGGCAGCCCTCTCTGAAAATCACCCTAAAATCCAGGGTGTGATGGTCAAATGCCAGCTTAGCATAATTATATTCTTCCCTCCTACAATTTTCTCTGCTATTCTGATAATAGCTCTGTTTTTAAGCCTTCTGACCCAGATTGCACTATCGCTGCTAGTGAGAGCCACTTCTGGGGCAGATTATCTTGGAGCATCGAGGACAAGGCACTGTGCTTTTCCTTCAGAGCAAACTCCATATTGATTTTCTCATTTTTGGACTCCTTCAGAATCCACCTGGCATGGAGAAGATGATGCACCTCTAGAATCAGTTCTCACTAGGTCTGCTTCACTTGTTAGCCATTTCACCTTCCAGCAAGGAGACTCCCTACCCCTTTAGAAGTGATGATGTCTTTATTTTTGGCTCATATATGAGCCTATGTTACAGCCCATCCTCAGGAGCAGAACCTCCATGCTGGCACGGGAGCCCCAGGGCTGAGCTCAGGAAACAAGCCAGTGCCTTTTGGGAGATGTATGGCCGGTGCATTGCCCAACCCTTCACCCGCAGCAGAGGAAATAGGAACATGAAACTGGTTTCCCTCTCCCCTTTGTACATGCAAGCCCTTGGCATAAACCTCCAGCTGCAAGCTGGCTGGGCACAGCCTTTGCATGCTCCTTATGGGATAGCAAGGCTACCCGGGTGGTTACCTGTCGTACACCACATCCTTGCAGTTACGGACAACCATGATCCCCGACACTGTGGCCATCGTGGCTTGGACTGTCGACACCAACCTGAAACCCAGAGAGCAGGAACGGGTCACCCCGAATGTCTCCTGGCAGGGCCGCGGTGGCCCCGGTCGCACCGGGTTTGCTCCTGGCACTCGACGCCTACTCCGTGCACGCCCGAATGCCTTGTCACGGCTCTGCCCCGCGCCCAGCGG